CCGCACGTGTAAAATAGATGTTTTCTTGCACCATTAATTAGCCATTAGGAAAGACAAACAATTTTTTGTTCGTGGGTTTGATTGTTTGCGGGTTTTGGTTCGTTTGTTGATTGTGGTAGTTGGTGCGGACTGTTAGTGTGAAGTTGCGCTGTTGCGGGTTTGTAGACAATTAAATATTGAGCCAATAAAATGACTACAAGTGTCAAATTCCATGTTAAAATCAATTTAATAATTTTCTATTTTATTTGGAAAATTAATCAAATTTTAATTCATAAATTAAATAGTTAATTAATTGATTATTTAATATACATTGTTGGCCAATTAAAGAATGCCACATGTATATTTTAAAGGCCAATTAAAGAATGCCACATGTCATTTTCTTGGAGAGTAAAATAAATAATTATTTCTTTTAATAATTATTAAAGAGATAATTAAGTGGAAATTCATGGACCAATCAAATTGAAGTCTTCTTTTCCAAGACTCTCTCTCCTAATTATTTCTTTAAATAATTATTAAGAGATAAATATTGGAAATTATGGACCAATCAAATTGAAGTCTTCTTTTCCAAGACTCTCTCTCCTAACACCTATAAATAGGGAACCTCCCTAAGGTGAAAAAAAGAACAATTCATATTCAAGTTTCAAGTTCCAAGAGCTCTACAGAATTCTCTCTACGAAATTCAAGTGTTCTTGAAGATCCAAAGGCGTTCTTGAAGATCCGAAGGAAGATTCAAGAACGTTCAAGTCCAAGATTGACGTTCAATCCGGAAACAAGCTGCCAAGCCTCCGAATTGCGTTATTCAAGTTCAAGTGTTTTGAAGATCCAAAGGCGTTCTTGAAGATCTGAAGGAAGATTCAAGCGCGTTCAAGCCCAAAACTGACGTTCAATCCGGAAACAAGCTGCCAAGCCTCCGAATTACGTTATTGAAGTCAAGACCGACGTAAAGAAGATCAAAATCAACTTTGTGGCGAAGACCAAGGAATCGTGTTCATCACGTTCTTGGGAAATCACAACGTTCGATTCGAGATCAAGCTGTCAAGCCCTCGAAGAAACGTTATTCAAATCCAAAATCAAGACTAGCGGAGATCAAGCTGAAGATTCGTCTCCAAAAGTCTCAAGTCCATTTGAAGATCATTCTTGAAGAAATTAATCAGAGGAATAATAGAGATTTGTAATCCACTATATTTCATTTGATCCGTTAAAAATTAATTTGTATGAAGTTCTCGTGTTTATTAATTCAATAATACGAATTTTGCGTTACAGGGTTTTGGTTCGTTTGCTGATTGTGGTAGTTGTTGCGGGCTGTTTGTGTGAAGTTGCTAGTTTTGGTTCGTTTGCTGATTGTAATAGTTGTTGCGAACTCTTTGTGTGAAGTTGGAGAGGTAGTATTCTATTATAGTGTAGGTGTACGTGTGTGTTTTCAGTGTTTAAATTTAATTTAAATGTCATGTGCGAATATGGATGCAAATTAAATTTTATATGTTATTTGTGTTTGTGTTGAGGTCCGTTGCGTCAACTATAATTAGCTACCACTACAATAAAATGATGAATTTCCAACGGAAATATATTTCAAAGAATTATTCCAACGGCAATTCCAACGAATATTTCAATACTATTATTTCCATTGGAATTTTTCAATGGATTCCAACGGAAATTCCAACGAAAATATTCCGTTGGAATGGGTTTTCCATTGGAATTTCCGTTGGATTTTGACGATTCCAACGGTGGATTTTCCAACAGGGGTGGAAAAAAAAAATTCCAACGGAATTTGCATATTCCAACGGAAATTCCTACGGTAAAAAGCTGTTGGAATTGTAGCCGTTGGAATCATCAAATTCCATCTAAAATTCTAATGAAAAACACATTCCAACGGAATATTTCCATTGGAATTTCTGTTGGAACTATTCCAACGGAAGCTATTCCATTAGAATATCCGTTGGAATTTCCATTGGAATATATTACCATAAGATTTTCCGTTAGAATATAACATTTATTTTGTAGTGCGAATAATGGGGTAATTTAATCATGGGTTATGGTATTTATATAGGATAACGGCCAAATAATTAATAAGATTAATAGACAAGCATATGAAAATAGGAATATGAAACTCAAATAGAAAATAGCGCAAAGCCTCGACGGTGGAGTTTTTTGGGTTTTTCTTTCTCACTTTTGGGCCCAATTATCAGCAGGCCTAATCTTCATTCTTCTTTAGATTAATGGGTCGGCCCAATCATCAGCAGGCATAATGAAACTTAAAGGATTTGTAGAGAATGTTCATAGCTATATTAAGGATCAAGTGATAAATCACTTGTACTTCATAAAAGACAAGAAAAAGGAGATTTAAAGCCCTGAAATTATCAAAATTATGTCCAGAAACATTCATTTCAGTTATGTGATACAGTATAATTTAATTCAGAATCATAAAATACTAATTGGGTCTATTTAGTAACATAATGCAAAGTTGCAGTAATATGACCCTTGCAGTTTAGTAGCAACGATGAAGCGATAGGCTCGACGAATAAGGCAAATACTCAAAAAAGTTACGGACGATTCGAACAAAGATGCAGCCTTTTTCTCCTCAGGCATTTCTTGTCTGTACAAAAATATTATTACCATTGCATTGGAAAATATGGTGCATTTAAAATGGAGAAAATGGCAGCACAATTGCTTATATGAGTCCACATTTTCGTCCAGAAAGCTCTTAGATGTGTTCAAATTATACAACAATAGTGAAAAACTCACATTTTTTTGCTTATTTGTTCCAAATCTTATGCCTGCTAAAGATAGAATTCTCGACTAGTTCCTTGGCAGATGGTCGTCGAACAGGATCAGCATCCATCATAGCCTGAACAGTGAAGGAATCGAAAGACAGTTTCAAAGGCCCGGTTTTTAAATAGTTATTTGGTCCAAAAGTTATATTCACGAAAATATAAAAAAACAAACAACAAAATAAGCAGAAAAGAAAACAAGCAAATATCCATGGTTCTGAGGTGTTTTGTTTAAAAAAAATGAAAAAAATCAACACATCTTGCTTATTAATAGTGTGTGTATCTGTTCTAAAACAAAGATAGCTGATGAATTATTGACATACCTTGATTAAACTCTGGAACTGCAATGAATGACCGGGAAGAAGAGGCAATTTTCCTTCCCTAAGATTGATAAAATGGGGACCCGATTCGGGTAAAGGCGATCCTCTCACAAGCTCATATATTGAAGCCCCTAATGAGAATATATCAACTCTATCAAGATTATCATATTTCTCGTTCAAGATTTCTTGCGGCATGTAACGCGCATCACCCTCTTCAATCGGCAAGCTCTTATCAATGAGAGTCGCACAACCGAAATCACCAAGTTTGTAAATCCCATTTCTAACATAAATATTGTCCGGCTTTACATCCAAATGAGCTATCCCTTTCTTGTGTATAAACTGTAATGCCTTCGCTACCTACAAACGTATAGAAATCACAGTTAATTAATTAATAGTTAAAGGATAACACATATGTACCTGAAAAATGATACTCAATGCAAAATCAAATCTTTTGGGGAAAAGGGAGTCTTATTTTACAAGTTATAGCATAAGCAAGCACATCAATGGAGCGGTTTTAAAGCGTGTAATAATGCAATCAAAAACCATTCACCTGATGCATGACCTCCAAAGCTTCTCCCTCTGTCAATAATTTAGGTAGTTTATTGATCGATAGGCAAGAATCACACAGCTCCAGTTGGATGTAAAGTTGTTCGTTTTCAAACCAAGAAGTGTAGTAGCTCACTATGTTCTCATGATAACCTGGCAAAAAAGGGACCAACCGAGTTTTGAGAATCTCAACATATTTGGCGTATAAGGTAAAAATTTAAATTTAAATTACAACGATTACACAACAGACCTAAAGCAGCCAGAGCTTGTACTTCCATCAAAGCTTTGCGCCTGTTACAAAATTAAGCATTTGATTAGATGCACAAGAAAGAGACACTCGGAAGAGGAACTGAACGACTAAAATTTAAAATAAAGTACCTTTCTGTATCCTGGCGCAACTGTTTCATGCTGATTTTCACTGCATACATGCTACCATCAATTCTCTTCAATACTTTGTAGACATTGTTGAAGTTTCCACTACCGATTTTCTGAAAAATAAAAATATTTCAGTTTTTTCTCACTATAGTGCTATATGGGATATGATCAGATAAAAAAATGTAGGCAGGGTATAATTGGAGCTAGACGGAGACTTTTACAACACTATTTATAAGTAAGCAATATTTTAATTCAATGTATGTCAGCATTTTCTAACCTCTATTTCATGAAAATCTGTTCGATAGCGTGAAAGGCCATCACCACCAATACTTGCAGGGTAAAACCCTAGAGACGAAAGGATTAAGATGTTAACTTAATGCATTGTACAAACTGAAACTCACAGATTCGAGAATTCTACATTCCAAAGCATCATGTTAAACTAAATAATTTTCGAAGAGCATAAATAAGTAATAATAATATTAGTAGTAGTAATAGTAACAAAATTGAAAAATCTAAATAATTAAACATTGCTGAACACCTGCACATTTGGATCTTTGATTATCCAAAGGATCAGAATCGAACTCCAAAGTGTCCTTAAGATATGGATTCTTAAGGCATGGAGGAGGCATAACTCTACACCGTAAAGCCACAGCAGACTGTGAAACATAACCACGATTCTTTTGCAAAGAGACAGTTTTGTTGATCTCCATTTCATCTGTTACAAGGCTATATTGTGCAACTTCTTCTACCAATGCTTGATGGCCAATATCAGTTGATTCAGTAGAGGCTTCTAAGTTCGCATCTGAAGCTGTGACACATACGAGCATCAAAATAAGAGAAAACGAAAGAAAAATGAATAAAATGAACAACAGCAACCAAGTTGAGTGATAAGACACTCAGCTTTCTATGAGTTACGGCAGTTGTAAAATAAATTACAGGACAACGCAACTTGCAGGAAAGAGTAACTCTCTTGCCAGTTCAAACAATTTCTTTTCAGCTTGAATATTTAGTTTTTGCCGACTGACCGAGAAAATATGACTCGAGTTTGCTAATTCACCAAACAATTTATGAGTTCATTTCATACGCAAGCTGAACAAAATAGGCTCGGACTTGGAATTCCGAATGTACAACAGCACTGTGTATGTACCCATTCAATGTTCTCCAAACATACAGCAAGATGCATACTTTAAACATATCATACCAAACATGAACAGTAAAATTAACTTCAAGACAACTGTATACCATAGCTGCATAAGCTGAAGACCCAGATAAAGATTTTCGAAAAAGAACAAAAAACCAATGCAATCAAAATCAATTCTTGTGCCCACTCACCAAGTTTTTGCCTTTTGCTCCGGTTAGTCTTAATTTTCTCCGGTGACCTCGGGCATTCGAAATTTTCCTGTAACACAAACACAAATAACATTATCACCCACAATTCAAACATATGAGTCTTCCAGGAGAAGCCCGAGCTCACCTTGTTCTCACCGGCATAGCTCCCGACAGCCGGCATAGGCGGAGTTATATAATCGGGCGTACTACAATTAATCCCGACAAATCAATTAAATCATAAACCCAACAAAAAAAAGTAAATAAACGAATAAACCCAATAATAAAAACGAGGCTTTTTTTCACCAGAAGAAATCCTGACTAAGGATGAAGTCTCTGTCGTCGGCGGCGGCGTTTGCATCGGAGTCCTGGGGCAGAGGCTCGGAATCCAGAAGCTTCTGGGACAGTGAGGAGTTGACCGGTTGGAGAGGCGAGTTCAGGTAGAAGTGGTCCAGCTGCACCGTCAGGTGATTAGCCAGTGTACCTTTCACCATTGTCTCTGAGTTTTTTCTGTGCCTCTTTGTATTGCTTTTCCGATTTGCCCTTATTAGGAATTTCCTCTTCATAAACCTCAATTCAAATCCCACAATCTTGTCTCTTTCAGTGAAGCTGCTTATATATGAGTATACATTGGAAAGCATGAAAAAGAAGACAGAGGGGGAATAAAATAATAGAGGAAAATGAAGTGGGAGACCAAAAGAGTTGAAATTATTCAAATTAGAGCGCGTGGCGGGGTGGAGGGAAAGTAAAAAAGCATTTGGGGGATTGGGTCGAGTGTTCCAAGTATCCACTGGCCGCGTCGGGTCGTTGACCCGACAGGTCAGACCCATTGATGAACCGACTCGGGCTTATCGATCATTGTTTCGAGTCAAATTTGGAATTTGTCCCGTATGTTGCGCAGTTCGATTCCGGTTCAAGTTTTCAAAGCATTTTGATAGGGGTGGGTTTTGGCCTTTTGGTAAATAGCATATTGTATCCATTGATCATCCGACTCGGGCTTATCGACCATTGTTTCGAGCCAAAATTGGAATTTGTCCCATATGTTGCGCGGTTCGATTTCGGTTCAAGCTTTCAGAGCATTTTGATAGGGGTGGGTTTTGGCCTTTTGACAAATAGCATATTGTATAACTATATTGAAATTTTTATGTCCACATATTATTATGGGAATCCTCTTGCCATATACTGGGCTTGTTTGGTAAATGGCTTTTTGCACCATTTTAGCTTTTTTGCCCATTAGTTTTTTTGACTTTTTCCTAGCTAACTAAAAAAGTTGTTTGGTAATTGGCGTTTCAAATCAGTTTTTTTTGTCTATTCACTAAAAATGAAAATGCTGGTAATTGGAGCGTTTTCAATTAGCTTATTTGAGGAAAAAAAAAAACTAAAAGTCACAACTGCCCTTTCTCTCTCTCTCATTAACCTAACTTTTTTTTCAATCTCTTCACGTAAAATGTTTCTCTTAATTAGAAAGGGATGAGGTACGAAAAAAATTATAGTTTTAATTTGCATTTTTATTCTAGCAATAAAAGTCAACATCTAACTTTAACATATGAGTTTTCAAAATAATATTTTTATGTGATTACATTATTTTATGTTTTAGTTTAATGTTTCTTTTTTTTTTCTAATTTAATTCATGTATATGATAAAATTTATTTTTATTTTATTATTATTTTTTTATATTTAAATAAATTTGATAAATATTTTAAATATTAATTATTTCTATTTCCTAAATAATTATAAGTTCAACATAAATTAGAATGATAAATATGTTGATGTCTTTATAAGTAATTTTACATGTTAACAACTAACTAAAATAGCTAATTTAACCAAACATTTTTTTACAAACCGCTAATACAATCAGTTGGTCAAAACAACTAATACAATCTGCTGGTCAAAACAGCTAATACAATCTGCTAACAGCTAACAGCCAACCGCCATTTACCAAACAAGGCCAGTTAAGAATTAGCGTTTTGAGTTTTTTTTTTTAAAAAAAAATATAAAGTAAAATAGTTAAATAAGTTATTCATCTTGTCTTAGTTGTGTGTAACTTGTAAGTAATTATTTGATAAATAACAGATTGTATAACTATATTGAAATTTTTATGTTGACACGTTATTATGGGAATCATCATTTCCCGAAATGAATGTATTGAGCCATTTAAGAATTAGCGTTTTGAGTAAAAAAAAAATTAATTAATTAAGATATTTATCAAAAAAGGTAAATAACATATTTACTCGACCAGAGAGGTCCAAAACTTTTTATTTTAGGCTTCATATCATCATCCATGTGCTAAAAATCTAGAATAGGAATAGGCAGTAATGCTCTCATAGCCACGATGGACACACGTTAATATGTCCAATGCTTATGTGGCATGCAAACATTGGTGATTTATTTTTTTGAACATATTAACATCACCAATGTGTGCATACTATATAAGCGGTGAGCATATTAACACGTGCTCCCGGTCGTGAATATGTTTATTAGTCCATGATACTAATGGTAACTTGTAAATTTATGGACTTGGTATTGGGCCAATTCTAATTTCTCAAAATATCTTGGCTCCTCGGATCTAAAATTAAAAGCCCAAATAAGAACTCATCTATTAATCTCACCAAATGTCCTATCCTTTATATGGGCCCAAACATTGGTAATGCTTCGGCCGCCTGTTGTTTTGGTTTTTCTACATTGTAAACTCCTATTTAAATAACAACAAATTTGCTGGCGGCCCAAATGTTCAAAGTTTATCGCAAGATCAGTTATAATATATTCATTATTTCAACAGAAAAATATGTGAATTATATAACACGACACCAAGCCATCTAAAAAAGACATGGATTTTATGAAAAAATATTTGAACCTTACGTTTCAAATAATTGCGTGTTTGGGTTATCTATTAATTAGTTTTACAAAAAGCCCATGAGGTATGGCTCGTGGGCCCTAAAATTCGATAACCCATAGTCTGCTTAAATGTATGGCCCAAACAGGAAGAGGATATTGTGATTGCCTTGGATGGTGTGCCAGCTCTCCCATCCCTCCTAATTAGTAATTACATTTTTCAATTTTTTATTATTATTTTTTTATATTTTTTTATTTTTTAAGCGCCCAAACCAAAAACTGGACCAATTTTTCAGGTCCGGTTTGGGTTAAACCCTTATTCCGTATGAGACTATATCGATTATCCCGTATAGGATTCTGTTTGTGGTTGCGTTAGTGTAGATCTCTAGGCTACTTTTGTGTGTGTCTCCTTTAGATTCAGGTGGATGGCTGCTTGATTATTCATAGTTATATCTGAGTTTGTAATTATGTGTTTTTTATTAACCTAATCTATCGTTTCGAAAATAAAAAGTAACATCTAAAAAAAGACGATTCTTTTCTATTTCCTTGAAAAGCTAAATCAATTCTGAAGTCAACAATAATGTTTCCTCAAAATATTAATTAAAATGTGAAGTGAATGTCAATATAAATAGAGGAACGATTGGTTTTTACTTTTTAGTTATACCAAATACAATTTTTCAAATTTTCATATTTTTTTTTTTTTAAATATCATATTTTATAAAACAATATAATTAAAAGTATGGTACTTAATAGTATTAAAAACTCTATGGATCAATCAGATCATTTTCTTATGGAATTATTCATCACTTAGGGTATGTTTGGTAAGCCAAATAAGCTAGCTTTTAGCTTATTTGGTTAGCTTATAAACTCCCTGTTTAAAATAAGCCTCGTTTGGTAGGACGAGCTTTTTTAAAAAGCTTGAGCTTATTTCATAAGCTACTTTAGGTAGCTTTTCAAATAAGCTAGTTGAATTTTTTTATTTCAGCTAGCTTATCAGTTAATTTACCAAACACCTTTTATCATATAAGCTAGCTTTTCAGCTATAAGTCATAAGCTATAAGGTATAAGCTTAAAAATTACATATAAGCTATAAGCTAGCTTATCAGCTAATTTTACCAAACATAGTCTTAGTTTATTGACACTTGTCCAAAACGTATTTATTATAGGACACGTGTGAATACACTATTTGTGAGTAAGTGCGGATGACTTAAGTTGTGTAATCCGATGACTCCATAGCATAACTGAGTATAGTATATGTATGTTTCTTTGCGCGAATAGTGCGACGGGTTGACCCACTTTAATCTTAGATTGTCTCACATAATAATTTACGTTTCAAGAATTGTACGGAACCTTCTATTGATTCACCTAACTTAAGTATATTTATGGTAATATGCGTGACACTACATCATTTGTGAATATAATTTTATAACTAACTCTATAAGCAGTATCATTTGATGTCAGTAGCAAAATCGATAGTTATACATATTATATATATAAGTTATATGTTTGTGTATAATACTTAAAATCATAAGTTAGATAATTAACCAATCATATTTTATAAATTTTACTATTAGTAAAAATAATGGTATCAATAAAAATTATTTGGCTTACATGCAAATGTTTTAATTGGTTGCAATGCAATTTTCGTAATCTTGAGTCATTATGACCAATTAATTAAATAAGAAATATTGATGTTATTATTATAACAATTGTGTACTAAATGTAACGGTTTTGCTTATGCCATATAGGAAAAAAAAACTAAATATTTGAATAAAAAATTGCTTAAGTTGAAATAATAATAATATTAATTCTACATAAATAATTTGAAATAAAATAAGTTTTAAAATATAACTTTTTATTTTTATATAATTTCATAGACCATTTAGTGTGAGTTTAGGATTAGTTTATATTAATTAAGACTAGTATTTTATCTGTGCATTTACACAAATGTAAATAAAATATTGTGAGTTATTTGTATGCATATAATGATTAATTATTTTTCTTTCACGTTTTTGCAGCCAAATTTACAATTAAAGGAGTTGATTTTTTTTTTAAATTGCGTTTATTAGATTGGATGTAACATATATTTTGGTATGTATTTTTTTTAAAATTATTTATAATTTATTTAGGAG